TGCTGTCCCTAGTGGCACAGATGTCGCTCCAAGTTCCGTACTGGAACGCGATTCTTTATTCCTTCTCCTTCCTCACTTCCCCTTTTTTCCCTATTTTTTTTCTCTAAAGACAAAACAACAACAAAAAAAACTTTTGCGCTACTTTGATGCCTTTGTCTTTTGGGAACAGCGAAGCCCAGGGAGCCCGACTAGGGCTCAGTGGTGGGGTGAGGTGGGATGGGGGGAGGGGTACTCAAGCGCACCCGGGGACCGGGAGAGACCAGCACCCCCACGACTCCCGGCCCGTCACCTGCGCGCCCTGGCGCGCAAATCGTGGGATGAGCCCAGGAACCCAGAGCTGGAGGCGGGGCGTGCAGGAGCCGGAGAGGGGCGGGCGGTGAAGAGCCCGGGCCTCAGGCCCAGTAGCTCCCCGAGGCCGGCGAGGGCGGCAGCGGCCAGCAGACGGCGATCGCGGCCCGTTTGTTGGCTGGGTCAGGGCAGACCCACGCGGGGCCTGGGAGGAGGCTCCGCCACCCCGCGAGCTAACCCCGCGCCTCCCGGGGCTCCAGGCAGTGGGGGGTGGGGAGTGGAGCCAGCCTCCACCCCGCCGGCTCGCCTGCTAGGTGTTCCTCTCCAGCCCGCATCCAGCCCGACCCGCGGTCCCCTCCCACGCGCGCGCTTTCGGGTCTCTTCTCGGCCTGCGCCTCCTGTTGGAGGCCCTCCAGTTAGCCTAGATGACCTCGAAAGGCTCTTCTAATTAAACTGTCTTCCTCTGTCTTTCTCCTGTGCCGCCTTCTCCTCTTCCTCACTCAGATCGCCCTTTTCTCTCCAAAAGTCCTGCCTAGGAATTGGCGGCTTTCTCGTGATTTGCCTCCCTAGAACTTTGGTCTCAGCCCTTTGGGGCAACACCAGAGTCTGGAAAGACTGCGCCCTGGGCAGTCCACAGAGGCGCCGACACGCGGCCTGAGTCCTTAAGGGGTCTCGGAAGCCCCTGGAGCTAGATGGTGTGAGTGCAGCGGACATAGATGGACATCTCCCCGGAGGGTGTCACCAGGACAGGCAAGGCGAAGGGAGACAGGAAGAGTGTGTCGTTTTCTTCCCTGTGATCTTTGTCTCCCCAGAACTCCTAACCTGTCCATCTCTCTGCTTGCTGGGAGCTTGAGTCTGGCGCTGGTACAGAGAGTAACCTCTAGGTGCCTGAAAACTCGCTTTCATTAGAGATTGCTAGGGGCAGGGCGGGGATTCTGTCCAGTGATCTGGCTACTTCCCAGATTTCTCCTGAACACAACATAGAGGTGGGCAAAGCAAAATCTAAGTTTGCGTTACTCTATTTAGGCAATTTAAGCTAATGGTGTTAGATTTAAAGTCTAGAACTCAATCTGTTTGAAAGTCAAGGACTCGTGTATATTTCCTAAATACATCACATACATATGTATGCATGTGTATTGTGTGTGTACACATGCATGTAAACATGCATATACTGTATATATGGGTGTGCATATGCACACACGTATATACATGTGTATATATTCACTTGCACATTTTCTATACATATACCCTCTATGTATATAGATGTATATATGTATGCATACATTCTATGTATATACACTTGTGTGCATATATCCTGTGGGTACACATACTGTATATGTATGAAAATATTGTGTATATGCATGTACATATACATATACATCTATGTAATTTCTTCTAATGATGGCTTTGATTTGAATTTTCTTTAAGGATCATTTCCATAAGTGAAATTAAAAAAAAAAACCAGCATCTTTACTTATCTGCATTCTAAGTGGATCTTCCCTTTGGCATTTTGAGCACAGAGGCACAATGAAGTTTCTAAATTGCCAAGAGAGCAAATTTGGTCAATCAACAGTGAAGTAATCCTTCGATAGTGGTCTGGGTTCTGGCGCTTCTGGTAAATAGTGCAGTCTGTCTTCAAACCCTCCAGCGCCTGGCCTTTGAGAAAGTTCTGGGTTTGAAGGAGGTTCCTGCCAAACAGGGGGTGGGGAGGAGGGGGAGAGAAACAGAATAGGGAGAAGACGTGTTTTTCAAACTGATTTTGGACTGTTTTCTCTATTTTTAAAGAGTTACTGGGGAGAAGGGTCAGAAGGAGCAAGAAATTGAGGCTCCCAAAAGCCATTACCAGCGGGAGTTGATATGACGCTCTCCAATCTTTGTGCCAGGATTCAAGGCACTGAGAGGTCTGGCACGCAGTGCCCCGCCACTGCCTAATTGGCACTGGCAGCAGCTGCCAATCATCTATCGCTTGGCAACAAGTTATACCTGCAGCTTCAGTTAATACTTATGCACATGGGCACCCATAGTGTGTGCCCGCTTGGGCCCAGGGAACATCTCCTCACTAAAAAGGACTTATGGAGAGCGCCCCAAATGCTAAGCACTAGTGCGATCTCATAAAAGGCTAAACCATTTACTTCCCATTTAGGTGCTCTGGAAAACAAGGGTAATGTCATATTTGGAAACAATTTTCAGGACTATGTAGAAAGAAACTAGACCATTTCAAAGTCAGCGATCCAAGTTCCCAAAAACATAAAGCATTCCTGCAATGCACACTGGAGTGCGGGGTGGTTATACAATAAATTGCTCCATTGATATGGAAAATAATGTGCCAAGCCTGATTCATACAAAGTATTTTCAGGGGGTCTTAGGCTATTTGGTTTAAAATCTAAATTGAAAAGCAGAGGAAAGAAATCTTTCAATGGCTAAGTGGATAATATAGTTTATAATTTGTAAACCATTTCCTTTATTTCAGTCTTGCTGACTTTCCATAACACACTGGATCTCACTGCACACCCATCACCTCTTAAATTATCAAAGGAAAAACGGATCTATAGTATTCTTAAACAATATTCTTGTTCTTTTTTTTTGTTTGTTCATTCACAATGTAACTGATATTTGGAGGTAGTACATGAAACAAATAAAAAGATTTAACAAACTCGATGGGTGAAATAAGAAGCTGGATGAAAACCAAGTTTATAACCTAGATATTTAGTGAAAGATAAATATGAAATGACATTTCCTTTCTAATATAATTATATATTTTTCAATGAGTTCACTATTAAATGCTGAATAGCCTGAAATGAAATCAGTTTAATCTGCAGAGACCAATTTACTGTTGCATTGCATACTATAGCAACCTTACAATAATAATAAAAAGCTACAGTAATAATCATAGTAATTGACAGGAAAAAAGGCATTATCCCTGTACTGTGGACAAGCAATAGGGTCAGGAAATTCACAACCTCAGATTTCTTCTTTAATTGGGGACAGAGAGTTGGGGGGGGGGGAGTAGAGGTGTCACGTATTCACTGCCCAACATATTTAAACAGCCTTATTACTACCCTAGTGATCATGATCGTATGTGTGTTTACTTCTCTTTCAAGAAGGTCAGTCTCCCCGCCTCGGTTAGGCTCCACTTCACCCACCAGCCATCTCCCAAGCACCTCCCACTCTGGTGCTCATGGAGACGCCCGTTACTCCCTGAGGGCGCAGGAGGGGTGCATCGTCTCTCCACGATGTTCCGTCAGAAGTCTTTGGGCTCTTTCCTATCATCCATCACCCGGATGGAAAAGGTACCCCGAGTGCAATGGTGTTATGTTAGATACTGTGAGGTTTATGAGTTATAACCGCGGGTGGATGTTTCAGCCACTTCCGGAACCGAACCTTTCATTTGCATAATGCAAGAAAGCGGTATCTGTCTCTTGGTCCCCAAACCCCACTTTTCCGACTCGCTTCCTGGAGGCCTTGCTCCGTTCACGCAGTTTGGGAAATTCTTAAGCAAACAGTTTGTGGAAGATGCTCTCCAGAAGAGCGTGGGCTACCTCATTCTTGTGCGATTTTAAACTTTTTCAACTGTTGTTAAGTAACTAGATTCCAGATAGCTCTTGTTTTCGAGCTTACTAGAAATTCCATTTTAGGAGGAAGAAGCGCCAAGCTGGGGAGAGTGTGTGACTGTAACAGCCAGGCTTATTAAAAGAGATCCTTAAAAAAAAAAAAAAAAAGTTCAGGGCTAATGCTAAAAGGAAGCTGTGCAGCCAAGCCCGACACAAATGCTCCCCCGTTACGGGGATTACTGGGGCCTGGATTGTGAAGGCCTTGCCTACGAGAGGGGGCACTGGAGAACTTCAGAACACGCTGCAGTGGAGCACAAATCCCTGGGAGGGCGAAGGGGACTGAGTTGCCCAAGCCTCGCAGGAGATCCCGAGGGGGGCTTTACAGCGGCGGCCAGTACTTCCCGCGCCTGAGGTCGCGCCCCTCCTTTCCAGCCCTGGGGCGGCGATGAGTGCGGGTTCCTGCCACGGTTGCCAACTTTCCCCCTTCCCAGCTGGCGCAGAGTTGGCGGGCGGTGGGCCGAGGAGGAGCTGGGTCAAGGATGCGCCCGGTTAAACGTGGCCGGGGGCTGTATTCCTGACCCCCCCCCCCTCCCCGAACGATTCTGTCTCCGTCTAGCTTTTAAATCCAGGCGTTAATCACGTGGAGCGCGCGGGCTGGGAGAGGCGAGGGTGAGCTCGGAGTTCGCCACCGCCGCGCGCTCTCAGGAAGCAGCTCGGCGGTGACCCCCTCCCGGGCCTCCCCCCGCCCCCCCCTCTACCTCCTTCCTGCCCCTGCTCCCCCTTCCTTTCTCCCCTCCTCCCCGCTCCGCCGCCCGCGCCCAGTGTATCTACTCCCTCCTCACGTCACTCGCCAGCGCGCCATGCAAATCACCGCCGCCGCCAGCTCCCATTGGCCGCGGCGCGCGCATTTAATGGCAGCCCGGGCCGGGCGTATGGCTGCTGGGCCCCGCGCGCCGCCGGCCCCGTGTGCGCCTCCACTCCCAGCGCAGGGCCCCGGGCAGGCAGCGGGCAGCCCGGGCTCGGCGGCCCCGGCTTCCTGGACTTCTCTGCGCGCCTGCGCTCCCTTGGCTGCCCCCGGCCCCCCTCCCCAGCTGCACTGTAATCCCCTCAGCCCCCCTCCCTTCCCCCCTCGGCGCCTCGCTCCCCCCTAGGCACCTGGGACCCGCACATGCCCAGCGCACGCGGCGCGCCGCCCAGCTAGAAGTTGCATCCCCGGAGTTGGAGGCCGCTGAGGACCGAGTGCAGCAGGAAGGAGACAGCGCCGGGCGACAGCGGCCGACGAGGAGGAGACGAGAGTCCCGGATCGGGGCCCGCGCATCATTCTCGTCCCCCAAAGTGGAGCTGCAACTTGGCCACGATTGCACCTGTTTGCACTGCTCAGCCGAGAGCGACCCTGCAGCTGCTGCGGCGGCGAGGACAGCGACCCCGGTCATCACCCTCTTTGGCAAGTGGTTTGTGCACGAGGAGAAACTTTCCACCTGTGAGCGGACCGGCGCTGAGTGCGTGTGTTTTTTGCTTCTTTTTTGTTGTTTTTGCCTCCACCTCCCCCCTTCTTCTCTCCGCTAAGACCTCTCCCCACACACCCACCCCCAAGTATCGCTCTGTTTGAGTCCCTCTCCATCTCCCAGCCCCCTGGCCGTCTATGCTCCAGGCCCTCTCTGCGTGGTGCCGGTGAACCCGTGAGCCGCCCCAATGTACAGCATGATGATGGAGACCGACCTGCACTCGCCTGGCGGCGCCCAGGCCCCCACGAACTTGTCAGGCCCGGCCGGAGTGGGCGGCGGTGGGGGAGGCGGCGGCGGAGGCGGCGGGGGCGCCAAGGCCAACCAGGACCGGGTCAAGCGGCCCATGAACGCCTTCATGGTGTGGTCCCGAGGGCAGCGGCGCAAGATGGCCCAGGAGAACCCCAAGATGCACAACTCGGAAATCAGCAAGCGCCTGGGCGCCGAGTGGAAGGTTATGTCCGAGGCCGAAAAGAGGCCGTTCATCGACGAGGCGAAGCGGCTGCGCGCCCTGCACATGAAGGAGCACCCGGATTACAAGTACCGGCCGCGCCGCAAGACCAAGACGCTGCTCAAGAAGGACAAGTACTCGCTGGCCGGCGGGCTGCTGGCGGCCGGCGCAGGCGGCGGAGGCGCCGCCGTGGCCATGGGCGTGGGTGTGGGCGCGGCGGCCGTAGGCCAGCGACTCGAGAGCCCCGGCGGCGCGGCGGGCGGCGGCTATGCGCACGTCAACGGCTGGGCCAACGGCGCCTACCCCGGCTCTGTGGCGGCGGCGGCCGCGGCCGCGGCCATGATGCAGGAGGCGCAGCTGGCTTACGGGCAGCACCCGGGCGCCGGCGGCGCGCACCCGCACGCGCACCCGGCGCATCCTCACCCGCACCATCCGCACGCGCACCCGCACAACCCGCAGCCTATGCACCGCTACGACATGGGAGCGCTGCAGTACAGCCCCATCTCCAACTCGCAGGGCTACATGAGCGCCTCGCCCTCGGGCTACGGCGGCCTCCCCTACGGCGCCGCGGCGGCCGCCGCCGCCGCCGCGGGTGGCGCGCACCAGAACTCGGCCGTGGCGGCGGCGGCGGCGGCGGCGGCCGCCTCGTCGGGTGCCCTGGGCGCTCTCGGCTCTCTAGTCAAGTCGGAGCCCAGCGGCAGCCCGCCGGCCCCGGCGCACTCGCGGGCGCCATGCCCCGGGGACCTGCGTGAGATGATCAGCATGTACTTGCCGGCCGGCGAGGGCGGCGACCCGGCGGCGGCGGCGGCCGCGGCGGCGCAGAGCCGGCTGCACTCGCTGCCGCAGCACTACCAGGGCGCGGGCGCGGGCGTCAACGGCACGGTGCCCCTGACGCACATCTAGGGACGCGAGGGGGACTGCGGCCCGCGCCGGCGACGCGCGAGAAGGAACGTGCGGCCAGACCCAGGTGCCCGGCCCGGCCCCGCGCGGCCTGGCTTTTGTGCAGACGTTTCCACCTTCTTTCCTTCCAGGGAAACACTGGCGACGAACACTAGGTGACACCACCCCCTGGCCCCCGCTCGCCTGCCTGGGAGCTTCTGGGAACGGCTAGGCGCGGACACAGTCGTGCGTTTTAGACTGAACTTGGTGTTTTCTTGAGACTTTTTGTACAGTATTTATCATCCACAGAGGCTGGAAGCGTTTCTTTGCTGGAGGGGACACAAAGACCAAGCCAAGCAAGAGGCGACCCCAACTTTTCTATCCCGCCGGCGCGCTCGCGCCCGTCCTGCCTCGCTTCCTGCTGGCGTGTGGTCGCCCGGGAGCTGTTCGCATCTGTTATCGGTGTAATAAGGCAGATCCAAACACAGGTTTTTCGTAGTTGTTACCACTCTTGGGTTGGTTTGTTAATTTATACAAAGAGATGCCCCCACCCCCTTTCTGATGGCAGCGTTATATTCTGAGTTTTTGTAAAACTTTTCTGTATCTGAGCTTTTCCATTTTTTTTTTGTTTTGTAATTATTTCTTGTAAATGCATTGTGAAATTTTAATTTTGGCGTTTCAGCGTGGGGAGGGGTATTCAGATTATGTACATAGTTTCCTAAAAAGCCTTTCTAGTAAAAAACGAAAAAGATAACCCCTCTTTAAAAACGCATCGAGTCAATAAATTTAAGAGAGGAAAAAAACTCGGTTCTTCCCATAAATTTGAAACGTGCTAATTGTATATGCATGTTTTACGGGCTCCAAATACAATTAGTAAGTCTGACGAAGGAGAAATTATCAGCATGGTTTAAGAGGGGAGGGAAACCCAGGGGAGAGGGTACGATTTTTACGGAGCTGAGTTCAGTGGAAGGGAAGGAAGTTAAAACCAATGGATTGTTTTGTAGAGTTTACAGTGTTAATACAGAATGGGAAATAATTACAAGAAAAAAAGTCGTTGTGTACTCCGGCCCTTCGGTGTGTTTGTATCTTTGGGCCGGCACTGCGGGATTTTTTGATTCCTTCCTGTGGGCTTTGCATCCTCTGGCCGGCCCCAGATCCGTGCCCCCAGGAGAGAAGAGCCCAATGGCGGGACCAGGCCAAGGTTGGATGACAAAAGACCACTGCAGGGCATGAGGGCCCCAATTTCCCCGCAATTAACAAGATTGCAGGTGGAATTTATCTAGATTGGGCTCAAGGAAACACAATCTCTGAACCAAAATGTACTGTAACCAAGCCCCCTCCATCCCTCCCTCTGGCTTCTTTCTCCTTGAGAAAGAGCTGAATAATTTTGTTGGATTTTCGCACACAGACACAAAATTGGCCACTCTCTCCCCCCTCTCCCCCACCCCCAGCCCCAGTGAACTGGGATACAAGTTGCTAACCGATGTGAATGCAAAATGCGGTGTTTATTATTCCTGACCATATCCAAGGTTGGTTAACGCTTTAAAATTTTTAGTTATATTTTTTTCTAGGTGTTTATTGGTACAGTGAAGTTTTTTTTTTCTGGAATTTAAAGTTTTCTGTAAAACTTTGTCTTCAAGTAATCTGACAGCATTAAATATTGAATTTTAAAGTTATACTGTAGCAAATACGTTCTGAAATTAGTCACAACATAAAAGTGAAATTATATTTTTGAAAAAAGAAACCTTTAACCCAGATCAAAATATGTTGATTTCTTCAACCCCCTCATTTTCTCAAAATCTTTTCTTATCCTGGAATGAGTAGACTATCCTTCCAAAAATGGGCCTATCTTGGTGAGTTAATGAGAATCACATTCAACCTGCATTAAAGAATAGCTTTAAGTAAAATGCTAACCTGACAATTGATGTGTAATTTTTTTGGAGTCATTTTGATACTTTTACTTAAACCACCCATTTCTTAAAGTGACTGCAAAAATTTCCAAAAAAAAAAAAAAAATGTCGACTGCTTCTTCCAAACAAGATAATAAAGCGCCCCTCCTTTCTTTTCTTTTTTTTTCTTTTTTTTTTTTTTCCTGCTTTAGCAGGAAAAAAATCTGATCCTTTGTGAAACAGTGGCTCCTAAAAGTGTTTGGATATATGTGGGTTGCTAAGCAGAACAGCATCATGAGATCTGGGAATAAATGCCACACACAGTCCCCTCTGGGAGAGAAGCTTTGGGAAATTCTGTAATGCTCTGTTAACTCACCAGCCCACATAAGGGCCAGACCTCATTTACTCTGATATTCGCAGAGTTAAATGGACTCCCCAGTTCTTTTGCTAACTCCCAAGCTAGAAACCTCTCCCTGCACTTACTAAAGTGGCAGACAGATGTGTGGCCGTGCTCACATAAGTGTATGCCCAAGTTTATATCTATTCTCAACTCTTGGCATCTAAGTCTTAGCTCATCACACCTATTAGTAATGTGGGTCACACTTGAAATGTTTGAGACTATGAAGGCTGCGCAGTCTGCTGGGGACTCCAGGCAGACCTGTCTGTTGGTTTCCCAGAAGATGGATTTAGAGTTTGGCGTTTTTCTGTATGTGCCTCATACATAGTCAGCTGAAACATTCAATGCCAGGTACCCCAAGCCACTTGTTAAAAAACCCAGAAAGGACTTAAAATAAGAATCCCTAAACTGCAGCGAATTTGTTTGGTTGGCTAGAAGGACAAGGAGAAAAACAAATTCTTTAATGACTTCATTTAAAAACAATATGGGATGGGGGTTGGGTGGGGGAGGAGAGAGATTGGCTAGGATTCCTCTCTCAGGAAGAGATCCCATCAGGCCCGCATTGTTTCTCCCATTTAAATTCACGGATTTATTCCACTACAGAACCAAACTGTGAATTCAGTTCTTGCCAAGGTGCTCCCCATCATATTCATGAAATATTATCTGATGGTAATTGTTATATGATGGCTTCAGTCGCTTCCTAAATCGTGAGATGGTATTTCTATTTTGTTTGAAACCCGTGTGGAGAGCGCGGACCGGACTATTTGGGGGCCTTTACGAAGTTTGCATAACTTCCAGCGAGGACAACCGCGGGAATTCTTCGTAGGCAGGCCTTTGCGCGCAGCCGGGCTCTCTTAGCTGAGGGTAGCAAGGCTTTGCTGGAGGGTTTTTCCGCCTGTCTCTTAACCCCCTCTACACCACCTCATCTTAAAAACAAACAAACAAAAAAACCCACCCATTTGGCCCCTGTAATTGTTGTTAGGACTTTGAATCACCTCCCGCCAAAGAAACCCACCAGTAGCTAGAAATGAATTAATCTTAAAACCAGTAGCGGGTACTGCGCGCCTGCTCTGCAGATGCGTGTCGGGTAGCGTGACTGATAGGTCTATTAAAATCATGCCTGTGGGAGAAGAATAGCGCGCATATTCACGCATTTCATCTTCCCGACAAAGACTGGGCCACGCAGATTTCTGTCTCCGGGAAATTCTGGTTAATTCGAGAAACTCGTCGCGGGTGGCAGGCCCCTGGAAGGCGCGCTCCAGGGCGACCTGGGCTCCCGCACCCGCCGCCCGCGGCCCCCGCGCTGCCACCCCCGCTTCCGCAGCCTGGCCCGCGAGACAGAGGCTCCAGATACGTCGGCGGTGAAATGTAATCATAGGTTTGATTCCTTGGAAACTTCGAGTGAAAAGCAGACTTGGCCTTGGCGCAGCTCTTTTTCCAGCGTGACTCTTTGGCGGGATTGAAAGGCCGGGCCAGGAAGGAAGGCGGGAGGGGGCGCGGGCTCCCCGAGGCGCGGAGCGCAGGAAAGTGGGCCCCGGTTCTGGCCCCCCAGTCCTGCAGGATCGGGAGTGCCGGCCGGGACGCCGGGGCGGGGAAGTGGGCAGGCAGGGACCTTCACCTTCGCCCTCTGCTCCCGGCCCCGGGCCTGCGTTTCCCAGCCCGACGGGGTGCCGCCGAGCTCTTCCCTGCCCCCACTTCTCTCCCCGGCCTCCCTTCCTGCTCCTCCCACTCTCCCTCCCTCCATCCCCGGGGCCCTTCCTCTCCAGCTGCGCGCCCGCTCGGCCCCCGCTGCGCCCACCCCCGGGAACCCAACCGACGCGGCGGGCGGCGCCCTGCGCCCAGGATCCGGGTCCTGGGTCCCCTCCCGACGGGGGCAACAACCCCACCCCCAACCCCGCCTTCCCGAGGTCGCCCTTCTCTGGCTCGGTTCACAATTGAGCCCTGAGCAGTGGGCGACTTCCAGGCCTTCGCTCCTCATCCTGCTCAGTTCTTTTCCTCTCCACCTTTCAGAATCCCCTTCCAGTCGCGTTGTCCATCACTTCTTTATTTCCCCTTCGCCTCTCCCTTCCTCTCCTCGCTGCCTCCAGCATCCCCCCTTCCCTTCTCTCCGGCCTTCTCTTTGTCTCTCCTCGCCGCCTCCTGGATCCTCCAAGGCTTGGCCCCTGGTCGTCCCGGCGGAGGTCCCAGGACGCTCCCTCTGAATCTGGGGTCAAGGTCGGCAGGTGCCTGGGAGCTGCCGGTCCCCAACCTTCCCTCGGCTGCGTCCCCACGGGCTCGGAGCGGGAGGGGCTGGGGGTCCCAGGTACCTGCTTGGAGCCTGCGGCCTGGGCGTCCGCCCCCAACTCACTTGGGTGCAGCCTGGGCTCAGAGACCGGGCGGGGTGTCAGCCGCCGGGGGGATTAAGATGACTGATGCAAGGGAAGAGGGCAAAGTGTTTTTGTGTTTAAAGAGGCCAGGATTAGTGGAGAGAAAGTCCTGACCCGAGGTCAGCTGCAAGTCAAACCCTTTTACAATCAGCCAGCGAAACAAGCAGGTCTCCGGGACTGGCCGCAACAAGTGGGAGAAAGGAGGGGGAGGGGAGGCAGGGCGGAGGAGCGGGGGGCTGGGGGGTAGGGGGGCAGGGGAGGGATGGCGGAGACCGGGACTAGGGAGATCGGCACCCCGGGGCTCAGCAAGTGGAGGGCGGCAGGAAGAGGGACACACCCGCATCCCGGGCCACAGCCCTCGCAGTAGGGGCGCCGGTGGCGGGAATCAGCGCGGCGCGGGTTGGAGCTTCACGGGGCGGGAGCAGTTGGCCCATCAGAGTTCTTTTAGAATGCCCGCATCTCCCATTTCCTGAGCCGTCTTCCTTCTGCTCCTCGGACCCAGCCTGGGGAGAATGCTCGCTGGGCTCTGTCTTATAAAAGCCATCTCATTTCCATGAGAAACCAAAACCAAAAGACTGGATCCTCGGTCGCTCTGCCTTTTGCGTTCTGACAGGCTCTCCAGCAATCGTTGCCTTACTTAGGTCTTTGCAAACCTTGGTGTGCGTGTGTGGCAGTATTGGGAAGAGGGGAATGAAATAACTGTATTAAAGCTGTCTCTAAAACCGCATTCTCCGTCAAGGTGGAGGAATGAAGCATGACATGGTTCATCAGGAGGGAAATCTTCGGGGCTCACCTGAAAAGTAATAAAAATGAGTTTGAGGTGGAGGGTGGGGGGTGGGGGTGGGGGTGGTGTCAGGGAAGAAGCAAGTAAATACGTGTATCTTCCTTAGCAGTCACGTTGGGAATTTGTGCTGAAATAACTCCATCAAGAGTTTTAACAAACATGAAACACAGATAAAGAACCCAAACAAGTGATGTGTCCAAAGATAGAAAGAGGTCATCTATTTTGGTAATAAAAAAACAGGATTGCCAGGTTTTCCTCTAAAGTGGCTTTTCATGTTTAAATATAAAAACATCAACAAGAGGAGAGAGAGAGAGAGAGAGAGAGAGAGAAGCAATTTTTAAAACAACACAAAACAAATAACTCCAAGAGAACTGACACATACCCACAGCCTAGCCTGGGTACGCTGGGGTGCTGAATGGGTTTGGGGTTCCAAAGCAAGTAACAGATTGTTACTTGGTAAGTTGCTAACTGCAACCTATGGGGAAAATTTGCCTGTGGCAGAAACTCTGGACATGGGGAGTAATTCTGAGTGCCCCGCAGGCAGCTCCCCTCCGAGGATTTAATTGCCCCGCCACTTCAGAACAACCGTGTGGCTACATTAAAGATGTTGTTTGTGAGGAACAGCAGGTCATCACATGCAAAGCCTCGAAATAGTCAGCCAGTCAAATCAGTGGAAAAAAAATCCGCTTTTGTTAGATTTTGCCGTTTCAGGAATTAGGCATTCACTGCAGAGCTGCAGTTTTGAGAAATTGCAATGTCAGGCATGTTCCCAATGGGGAAATATTGTGAGAGTGTGGAGGAATGTAAGATTGGGTTTGACAATGGGGAAACTGACAAGAGTTATCACCCAGACATTGTTTTCTCTCCCAGCACCCCCGAAATGCTAACTAGAGATGATATCTAGTGGCAGCAATAACACTCTATGTTTGTCCTACACACTTATAAGATATGAAAACAAGAGTCTTAGACATCTAAAGAATTGACCCAGGATTTCACATGACGAATACTGCA